TGAACATCCTATATTTTGTGTAGTTTTCCCTGAAGATGACTATCGAAGATAGTCGAAATATCGGAAATAAATTATAAACGATTTTTAAATATAAATAATAAATTAGTGTCTTTTTATTTATATTAAAATTTGACCAATTAGCCCGGTAACAAATTATTATAATAAATTTTTTTTGAAATTGTTTTTAAAATTTTAAAAATATTATGCAGTCACCAAAAGTTAATTCAAATTTCTAATAAACCTTCGCTTAAAAAAAAACCAATAATCTTTTAATAGTTTATTGTCTTTAGTTCCATAGTAAATAGGATTCACTATTTTTAGAAGTCAGTGGTCCACTTTAAGATGCATTATCATCGATCTCTCTTAAACGTACCATTGCCAATATGGCCATAATGCTTTCTAAACTAAGTTAGAACTTAAATAATTGGTATTTTGAACATATAAACTCTTATAAAGACATTTTTTTTAAAAAAACTAGTGAAGAATTTCTTTTGGCTGTTAAAAAATACTTCACTAACAGAATAATAAAAACAAATGAATTAATATAAAATATATTATAAATAAATTATTAAATTTTTTTTGATATAAAAAAATAAATATAAAATACCTATTATTTGTCTTAAAATAAAATAATTAGTTTAACTAAAGAACCACAATGAAGGATGTTAAAGTGGCAGTATATTAAACAATATTTTTCAACATAAACTTGCCTGATATATATATTTTAATACGTTATAAATAATTCTAAATCCTGCAAATAGTTTAAGCGTTTTTACAATTATTAAAAAAACCATACCAAGCTTACTGAAATTCAAAAATTATTGTACTAAGCGTGCTTCGTAGGAATTCAGTTTAGTCAGCTCTTCGACTGCTGCTTCCCTCAGTTTCCGTGACAGTGGCGGTACAAACAAATCGTAATCCACTTGCTTGCGCGCAGCGTTCAAGTAGATTTGTGTATTGTCGGCCAAATTTAGGAGCTCAAGCCATACACTGCAAGCATAGCCAACAACCAGCGTTATGATGAAACCAATCACAGAGAACCACAAATAGGATAGCTTGTACAACCAAAAATATTCAACTACAGGTGGCTTAGGAGTAGTGGTTATTATTGACAATGTTGCATTTATTGTGGTGTTAATAGCAGCTGTGCAGTTATCAACGCTAAGTGGCAATGAAGGTGGTGGTGGTTTAGGTCCTCCAAAACCAATCCAAAATGAAAACATTAAACCAATTAATAAACCCAGCAGCGCACCGCGTTGATTTGATCTCGTAGTGCACATTCCCAGCGTAAATAATGCCAATAAAGGTCCACCAACAATTCCAAATATTGTCAGAGATGCTTGAAGAACGCCACCTAGTGAACCAGCACCAAATGCTAAACCAACGCAGACTATGCCGTATAAACAGGCTATAATTTTTGATGGCAAAGTTGTATTCGAATCAGTCATAGGTCTTCTGAAGCAAACTTTATACAAAGGTTTTAGATAATCTTCCAATGTGACGGCAGCAAGAGAACTCACGGCTGAAGAAATGCTGGAGAGACTACCTGAGAATATGCCAGATACAAATAAGCCACAAAGTCCAGGATATTGACCTGTAAATAGAATTTGAAAGGTATACTAAATTAAAATTTAAAAAATATTAAAATTATATTCCGACGGGGCGCTACACTTCGTAAATTTAATATAATAATATTACAGTAAATTATATATGATAATATAAGTGAAGTTTGGATAATATAAAATGTGTCTATCTCTTAGCATCTTAAACTATATTCACTATTTGAAAATGAGCGATAATACCAGATCTTAACATATTATTAGAGGTTTAAATCTAAACTTCTTACAAACAGTAAAATCTTACTAAATTTGGTAAAAGCATATCTAAATTTGCTTACCCATTGTATCTATAGCGAACAGTGGCATTATTTGATCCCGGTATTTAATGCGACCCTCAAGTACTGGATCGCAGTTTCTGTAGTAATAAAATATAGCCAGACCGCTGAAAAGCGTGCTAAAACTTAAAGTACTCAATATTGGTAGATTCCACCAAAGTGCTGCTTGCGCACCTTTCAAGTCACGCACGCTTAATAAACGCTGTACTTGTGTCTGATTAACTCCGTAAAGCGATAGATATGTAACTATACCGCCAATAATTAAACTCCAAAATGTATGTCGTACTGTGGGATCTAAAGAGAACTCATTAATTTCCATCCGCCCACGTTCAACAGCAACATTCCAAATGGCACCTAAGCCTCCTTCAGCTTTAAGTGCAGACACTACAATTACTGAATAAATGGCAGCGAACATAAGAATAGACTGAAAAACATCGGTGATTAGTACCGCCTTCATGCCTCCTATTGTTGAATAAAATGTACAAACGAAACCTATGGCTAGTATGGCTGTGTTTTTATGTATTCCAGTTACCGCTTCTAAAGCAAGTGCAGGTGCATATAACACAATTCCCATGTAGAGTATCATTTGTACTGAATAAGCTAAAGAAGCTACCAGACGCGTTGCGTGTCCAAATCTACGTTCCAAGTATTCATAGACACTTGTGGTGCGCATACGATAGAAAACCGGTAAAAATAGATAAGCAGCTATGGGTGTACTGATAACGTAGGCCAGATTGATGACGCAGAACATAATGCCAAACTGATAACTTTCATTGGAAACGCCTAATAGCGTTATTGCAGACATGAAACTGGCCATCAAACTAAAGGATACTGGAAAAACCGACATGCTTTGATTAGCCATCAGATACTCTTTGGTGGTTTTTTGCTTGCCACCGGTGTAGCGGTAGTAGATTCCAATAGATGCAGAGATTATAAGTATAGTGATCAACACTGCAGCATCCCAAATATCAAAATTTGACATCTTTGTTAATTTTGTTCTGTCAGGCGCAGTCAGATGACAAAATGCAGAGTGTAA